GTAATACTCTGGAAAGAAACCGAACTGAAACAAGGTGCAGTGGTGATGGAGGGCAGAAAGTTCGATTAGACTGCCAGACCCCAAACTTCAGAAAGAAGGGCACGGATGGCATTGCGTGATTTGTTGCCTGGTCAGTGCCTAAGGACCTGAAGAACCCCCACAAAGAAGGTATGCTGCTTATTCTGTTTCATTGTCATGTTTAAAGGTTCTCCTCCTCCTTCCCACAATAGCAATATGTGTCATAAATACATGCGGGGAGGTGGGGAGCCTCCTTGTCTGTGGGACGGCCTTGTGAATCATCCCTAAAACAAGCAATACTGCAGAGTCCATCTAGGGTTTGTAGCACAGCTTAGAGGGCTGTCAGAAAAGAGACAACTGTTATTTAAAATACTGATCCTGACCCCAGATAGTCCCCTTAGCTCAGTGTTGGGGTCACGAAAAATTTGGCAACAGTAAAAAGTTTCCAGTTGCCACCTATTCACACCAATGTATTAGCAACAAGGCACAGTATTTTACATAGACTCTGCAGAAAAAATGCTTCGACTTTGCTCTGCAAAAGGAGAAAATGGCCTGTTTAGCCAGCCTTGCAAATGCCAATTTATATTTGGTGAATGTTTGAGTTTTAGATGCCTATTTTATATACAAATTTCTCTGACAGAAAGGCATCGCTTGTGGAAAGCAGCTTTGGTTTGAAAAAATAGAGTAACAGAAGAGACAAGGTGATCTATTTGTTTGTTTCTGTTTTATTTCTATTTGTCATTGCACATGGCATTGAATGTTTGCCGTTGTTGTCTTTGGAAGCCACCTGAGTCCCTTCAAAGAGAGAGGGAGGGTTAGAAATAAAGTGTTGTTGTTGTTGGGTTGCTGTGAGTTTTCTGGGCTATGATGTTTTGCCCACATCTATGGCAGGCATCCTCAGATTTTGTGAGGTCTATTGCCTAGGTTCCAATAGACTCACTTGCCTAGTTTCCAATAGACCTCACAACCTCTGAGGATGCCTGCTAGAGATGAGGGTGAAACATACATCTATGACAGGCAAGTGAGCCCTCTCTGAGGATGCCTACCATATATGTGTACAAAATCAGGAGATAATTCCTCTGAAACATGGCCATACAGCCCAGAAAACTCACAGTAACCCAGTGATTCCAACCATTAAAGCCTTTGACAACACATTATTATTATTATTATTATTATTATTATTATTATTATTATTATTATTATTATTATTATTGGAGCCCTCGGTGGGCGCAATGGGTTAAACCCTTGTGCTGGCAGGACTGTTGACCTGAAGGTTGGGTTGCTGCTGGTTTGAATCCAGGGAGAGTACAGATGAGCTCCCTCTGTCAGCTCCAACACCCCATGCAGGGACATGAGAGAAACCTCCCACAAAAATGTTAAAACATCAAAACATCTGGGCATCCCCTGGGCAACATCCTTGCAGGATGGCCAATTTTCTCACACCAGAAGTGACTTGCCGTTTTAAAATCGCTCCTGACACGAAAAGGAAAATATTATTATTTTCTCCCCACTTTTTAACATTTCATCTCGTACATCTAGCTTGCCCTTTGTGTTTGATTTTACTATGCTATTTTATCCTGTATATTTTATTTGTTATTTTATATATTTTGTTATGATGTATTTTTGTTGTTTCTGTGTCTAATTATGTTGTATTATTTTTGGGCTTGGCCTTATGTTAGCCACCTTTTGGGGAGATGGAGGCGGGTTATAAATAAAGTTATTATTATTATTATTATTATTATTATTATTATTATTATTATTATTATGCCAGTAAGGTGGCTTTCTGCAGCTGGCAGATGGTAATTTTGTCAGCGCCTGACATGATTGTGTTTAAGTGCAGGCCAATGTCTTTAAGCACTGCACCCAGTGTGCCGATCACCAATTATTATTATTTTATTGACACCAAAGCACAATATGTCACAACAAATGAGCTCTATATGCTGGATTTCGTATCACAAAATCACAAGTCAAACACTTCCCAAGCATCTAGGACTGTGTGACGTATTTTCAAATGATGCGCGCAGATCCAAGTAAGGTGGCCTTTTGCAGTTGACAGATCATGATTTTGTCGATGTTTATTGTTTCCAAATGCCGGCTGAGATCTTTTGGCAGAGCACCCAGTGCGCCAATGACGACTGGGACCACTTGTACTGGATTATGCCAGAGCCTTTGCAGTTCAATTTTGAGGTCTTGATAGCGGCTGAGTTTTTCCTGTTGTTTTTCCTCAATGCGACTGTCACCTGGTATGGCGACATCAATAATCCAGACTGGGTTGTTGTAGGTTTTTTTGGGCTATATGGCCATGTTCTAGAGGCATTCTTTCCTGACGTTTCGCCTGCATCTATGGCAAGCATCCTCAAAGGTATTGAGGTCCTCACTACCTCTGAGGAAGCTTGCCATAGATGCAGGCGAAACATCAGGAAAGAATGCCTCTAGAACGTGGCCAAAAACCTACAACAGCCCAGTGACTCCTGCCACAAAAGCTTTCAACAATAATTCAGACTTTTTTTCTTTTCCACAATCATGATGTCTGGTGTATTGTGTTCCAAAATCTTGTCAGTCTGGATTCAAAAGTCCCACAGTATTTTTGCATGTTCATTTCCTACAACCTTTGCGGGTTGTTGTTGTTATTCTTATTATTATGGAGAGATTGGTGATGGCTGAGGGAGCCATGGGGCATCTCTGGTGCGAAACTAGACAAACAACACAAAGTGAAATGATACGCAAAGGGTGCCCAGCAGGTCTGTAGCCAGAATTTTGATCCGGGGGCAGAGGTGGCCCTAGGTAATTTTCAATGGTAAGCAAACAGTATTTTGCCCTCCCCCCTCACCAACCAATCACTGATATATATTTTCTGTTCGTCGTGGGAGTTCTGTGTGCCATATTTGGTTCAATCCCATCATTGGTGGAGTTCAGAATGCTCTTTGGTTGTACGTGAACTATACATCCCAGTAACTACAACTCGCATATGTCAAGGTCTATTTTCCCTCAAGAGCGCTCCTGGGCAAAATCAACTATACTGCAAAGGCTTACTTTGCGTAATGGGTTGAGCTGCCCCTGCCTATGGGGGGGGGGGGGGGAGGTGGTCAGGATCTACCCTAGCAAACCTTTTGTATCATTGTCCCAATACTCTCATGCATATGAGATATATTGAGCATGGTGATCAGACCATGATATGAATAAACATAAGCAGTAAGGCCTTCTCGCAGACCACCCTGAGAATTTTGGGGGGGGGGGGCTGAAGCCAGGGCCGTAGCCAGAAAAATATTTCGGGGAGGGTTGAAAATTTCGGGGGGGGGGGGTTAAAATTTTTTGGGGGGGGAGGGTCACGCTGAAGAAAGAGCACATCAGGGGGCAGAGTAGCCTTCAATAACCTACAACTCCACCCCTGTCAACAGGGGCGGCTTGTCCATTATGCAAAGTAAGCGATCGCAGAACACTTTTCCAGGGGCGCAGAGGCACCTCTGTAAATGCCCCTCGACTGCCACTTGAGGAGCGCCCCCTCAGCTCACAACAGCCCTAGCAGTCTGGGGGGAGCCTCGGCTTTCTTGCCTCGCTGCCGGGCGATCCTCTTCCCAAAGGGGCCGGGCCCTTGAGCCTCGCCTAGCCCCTCTCGTTCCTGCTCCACCTGCCCACCAGGTGCGCAAGCAGAGCCGGCGCTCAGTCATTCTCCGCGATCGATCCCTTCCCCATGACCGGCTCCCTCTCCTGATCCCCCGGCACTCCACCCACCTCCTCTCCTCTCCCCAATCCGCGGGTGGGCCAAGGGGCGGAGCCACCGCGCCTGGCCCGCTTCGGGTCCAGAGGCATGTCTGAAGACCCCAGCGTGCACCAAAAGTCGCCTCTTCTCCTGACTTTCTCTTCAGCCATTGGAACCAAGAGAGAGAGAGAGAGAGAGAGCCCCTCCGGCTGGAGGTATCTCCCACCTCCGCTCCCTCCTTTGTTTTTGCGCCTACCTTCAGGAAAGGTGGGCATCTCCACCTCTGTCTCTCTCTCAGTCCCAATGGCTGAGGAGAAAGTCAGGAGAAGAGGTAACTTTTGGTGCACATGCCGGGGTCTTCAGGCATGCCTCCGGACCCAAAGCGGGCCAGGCAAGGGAGCAAGTGCGGCAAGTGTAGTTACTGGGATGTATAGTTCACCTACAATCAAAGAGCATTCTGAACTCCACCAATGATGGAATTGAACCAAATATGGCACACAGAACTCCCACGACAAACAGAAAATATATATCAATGATTGGTTGGGGGGGGGGGGCAAAATACTGTTTGCTTACCGTTGAAAATTACCTAGGGCTGCCTCTGCCTGTCAACCACCTCCACCAAGTCTGGCCTCCTTAATGAGAGCATTCAACACTCCCCCCCCCCAACTTGGTTGCTTCGCTACATCGGCTATTGCTGCAAGTAATGACAGTGTGAATAAATTGTCAATATTTGCTTGAGATAGTGCTTGCAGTTCTGGAGGGACTCTTAATTTTTTACGTCTCATAGACTTAGCATGGGGATTTGGTTAACTAGTTAAAATTCATGAGTAAACCAGGTTTTTTTTAACCTGAAAATCTTTAGGGGGGGTTAAACCCCCTAACCCCCCCCCCCCCCCCCCCCCGCTACAGGGTTGGCTGAAGCCCCTCAAGCCCCCCTTCCCCCTGCTGCCCAGGGATTATTTGGGTTGATGACAGGCGTCGATGAGGGAGAGAGAAAGAGAAAAGAGGTGGTGGCAGCAATTGCCAGAGACTAATGAACCTTTCGCTTATTAGTGCTGTTGCCTGCGCTTTGTGTCTCGCAGCGTTGGGGCGGGGCGCGCGCGAGAGAGAGAGAAAGAAAGGGGGGGGGGTGCGATTGGATGACACGACGTGGCGGCAAAAAAAAAAGAGAGAGAGAACCGAACCCAAAAAAAAAAAAACCCAACCACCCTAAACCCCGCACGGCGCGCGCACACACACACCCATTTATGAGGCAGGCAGCGCGCGGCGTTTGCAGGAGTGCGGGCGCAGGAGGGGAAAGGGTGAGGGCGCGAGAGAGGAGAGGCAAAGCGAGAGGCAAAGCATTGTCGCCCGCCCGCCCGACTCGGCTTCTGAGGCGACGAGAATGAGCGGGAGCGCGAGAGGGAGAAGAGCGCGGAGGGAGCACGTTGGCTCTGGTCGGCGGCGTGGGCGGGGAGAGGCGAGGCTGAGGGAGAGGCGAGGCAAGGCGAAGAAGAAGGAGAAGAAGAGGAAGAGGCGGCAGGCGCGACGAGGAGGAGTAGCAGTAGACAGACAGAGGCAGCGCGAGGGAGAGAGAGGCAGGGAGGCGCGCGGGCAAAGGGCAGAGGAAAGGAAGCTGTGAGGGGGGAAACGAGGCAAGCGACGCCGCTCCAAGTTGTATTCCGAGAAAGGGAGGCGGGAAGGGAAGGAAGGGAGAGGGGCGTCCAGGGCGAAGAGGAGCCACCCTCGTCGTCGCCGGGAATGCCTCCCCGAGAAGCAGGCGTCGCGTGGTGACAGCCGTCGCTCGCTCTCTTTCTCTTTCTCTCTCTCTCTCAGCCAGGCGCCAGGGCGGGGGCGTCTTCTTCGCCGCCACAGCAGCCTCTTCCTCTCAGGTAAAAAACGCCTCTCGACGTGCGCTCTGTTGTCTGTTTGCCTGCCTGCTTGCCTGCGTGCTCTTTGTGCCGCCTCTCTGTCGCCTTGTCCTGTCCTCGCTTCTTTGGGAGGGCTGGGGGGGGGGGGCATGGTGGCCAGGTCTGCGGGTTGCCCATTGCCAAGACTTGGGCTCCCCCGCCAAAAAGATGGGTCGACTTTGCTACCATTCTTTGGCCGTGCTTCTCTGCTTAAGCACCTCTTAAGTCTGTCTGCCTTAGCATTTGGTTCTTTCGTTACTTCTGGTAACTGCACCCCTATTGTATGGTGCAGTTCAAACAGATTGCCAAGAATGGCAAGTATTGGGTTGTTGTAGGTTTCTCAGGCTGTGTGGCCATGTTCTTTAGTTACTTCTGGTAACTGCACCCCTATTGTATGGTCATTGAGTAAGTGATTTAGACTCCACATTGAAACAGATTGGCAAGAATGGCAAGTATTGGGTTGTTGTAGGTTTCTCGGGCTGTGTGGCCGTGTTCTTTAGTTACTGCACCCCTATTGTTACTGCACCCCTTTAGTAACTGCACCCCTATTGTATGGTCACTGAATAAGTGATTTAGACACCACATTGGAACAGACTGGCAAAAATAGCCAGCATTGGGTTGTTGTAGGTTTCTCGAGCTGTGTGGCCATGTTCTTTAGTTACTTCTGGTAACTGCACGCCTATTGTATGGTCATTGAGTAAGTGATTTAGACTCCACATTGAAACATATTGGCAAGAATGGCAAGTATTGGGTTGTTATAGGGTTCTCAGGATGTGTGGCCATGTTCTTTAGTTACTTCTGGTAACTGCACCCCTATTGAAAGGTCATTGAGTAAGTAATTTGGACTCCACATTGAAACAGATTAGCAAGAATAGCCAGCATTGGGTTGTTGTAGGTTACTCAGGCCATGTTCTAGAATCATTTTCTCCTGACGTTACGCCTGCATCTGTGGCAAGCATCCTCAGAGGTTGTTACTATTCTTTGGCCGTGCTTCTCTGCTTAAGCACCTATGCCTGTCTATCTGCCTTAGCATTTGGTTCTTTCGTTACTTTTGGTAACTGCACCCCTATTGTATGGTGCAATTCAAACAGATTGGCAAGAATGGCAAGTATTGGGTTGTTATAGGTTTCTTGGGCTGTGTGGCCATGTTCTTTAGTTACTTCTGGTAACTGCACCCCTATTGTATGGTCACTGAGTAAGTGATTTAAGCCTCCACATTGAAACAGATTGGCAAGAATAGCCAGCATTGGGTTGTTGTAGGTTTCTCGGACCATGTTCTAGAATCATTCTCTCCTGACGTTACGCCTGCATCTGTGGCAAGCACCTCTGTCTGTCTGTCTGCCTTAGCATTTGGTTCTTTAGTTACTTCTAGTAACTGCACTCCTATTGTATGGTCACTGAGTAAGTGATCTAAGCTTCCACATTCAAACAGACTGGCAAGAATGGCAAGTATTGGGTTGTTGTAGGTTTCTCGGGCTGTATGGCCATGTTCTAGAATCATTCTCTCCTGATGTTTCACCTGCATCTGTGGCAAGCATCCCCAGAGGTTGTTACCATTCTTTGGCCGTGCTTCTCTGCTTAAGCACCTCTGTCTGTCTATCTGCCTTGGCATTTGATTCTTTAGTTACTTCCAGTAGTTGCACCCCTATTGTATGGTCATTGAGTAAGTGATTTAGCCTCCACATTGAAACAGATTGACAAGAATGGCCAGCATTGGGTTGTTGTAGGTTTTTCGGGTTGTGCCCATGTTCTAGAATCATTCTCTCCTGACGTTTCACCTGCATCTGTGGCAAGCATCCTCAGAGGTTGTGAACATTGCTGTTAACTGTTCTACAGTGGTATTCCCTGCCTCCGACGGTGGTGGAGACTTTGAAACAGAGGCTGGTTGGCCATCTGTCAGGGGCACTTTGATTGTGCTTCTCCTGCATGGCAAGTGGTTGGACTAGATGGCCACTGCGGTCTCTTCCAACTCTACTAATTCTATGATTCCATGAGGAGCTGATAGAAATCTTGCCTTGTGAAGAGAGAAAAGATATATTATCTATTTGTATGCCGGCCACATGACCTTGGAGGTGTCTATGTACAACGCCGGCTCTTTGGATTAGAAATGGAGATGAGCACCACACCCCAGAGTTGGACACGACTGGACTTAATGTCAGGGGAAAACCTTTACCTTTACCTTATGCTTTCACATTTGGCTCTTTAGGTACTTCCAGTAGTTGCACCCCTATTGTATGGTCATTGAATCACATCAAGTGATTTAGCCTCCACATTCAAACAGATTGGCAAGAATGGCAAGCAATGCTGAGAGCTGTTCTGCAGTGGAACTCCCTGCCTAAGACTGTGGTGGAGGCTTTTAAACAGAGGCTGGGTGGCCAGCCTTCAAGGAGTCTTTGATTGTGCCTTTAAACAGAAACTGAATGACCATCTGTCATGGGTACTTTGATTGTGCTTTTCCTGCATTGACAGGGTTGGATTAGATGGCCCCTGTGGTCGCTTGCAACCATGTTATTCTGTGATGCTAGAAATCTTGCCTTGTGAAGAGAGAAAGCATACTTCTGGTAATTGCATCCCTATGGTCATTGAATCACAGTAAGTGATTTAGCCTCCACATTCAAACGGATTGACAAGAATGGCAAGCATTGCTGAGAACTGTTCAGCAATGGAACTCCCTGCTTTGGACTGTGGTGGGGGCTTTTAATCAGATACTGAACTGCCATCTGTCAGGGTGACTTTGATTGTGCATTTCCTGCATGACAGGGGGTTGGACTAGATGGCATTTGTGGGCTCTTCCAACTGTTGTTTTGTGATTCTGTGATTTAGAAATCTTGCCTTGTGAAGAGAGAAAGTGTATATCAGGTATGATCAAGCTTTGGCCCTCCAGGGTTTTTGGACGTTAGGCTGTTAAGAATTGTGGGAGTTAAAGTCCAAAATACCCAGAGGGCCAAAGTTTGCCCATGCCTGGCGTATATTATTTATATGCATGCTTTTGCATGTGGTTCTTTAGGTACTTCTGGTAGCTGCACCCCTATTGTATGGTCATTGATAGTCCCAGTAAGTGATTTATTTGCTGCCACATTCAAATGGATTGGCAAAAATAGCAAGCATGGCTGAGAGCTGTTCTGGAACTGGAACTCCCTATCTGACTGTGGTGGAGGCTTTAAACAGAGGCTGTATGGCCATCCGTAAAGAGGACTTTTGTGCTTTTAAAGAGAGACTGAATGACCACCTGTAAAGGAGACTGTGATTGTGCCTTTAGACAGAGACTGAATGGCTATATGTCAGGAGGACTTTGACAGTGCTTTTCCTACATGAAGGGATTGGACTAGATGGTCCTTGTGATCTCTTCCAACTTTGTTATTCTACGATTTTGTGATTCTAGAAATCTTGCCTTGTCAAGAGAGAAAGCGTATCTTATCTATTTGTATGCTTTTGCATTTGGTTCTTTAGGTACTTCCAGTAGCTGCACCTCTCTTGTATGGTCATTGATAATCATAATAAGTGATTTATTTGCCTCCACATTCAAATGGATTGAAAAGAATGGCAAACATTGCTGAGAGCTGTTCAGCGGTGGAACTCTCTGCCTTGGATAGTCGTGGAAGTTTATAAACAGAGGCTGGATGGCCATCTGTCAGGGGTACTTTGATTGTGCTTTTCCTGCATGGAAGGAGATTGGACTAGATTGTCCTTGTGGTCTCTTCCAACTTTGTTATTCTATGATTCTAGAAATCTTGCCTTGTTAGGAGATAAAATGTATATTATCTGGGTTGCTGTGGGTTTTTCGGGCTGCATGGACATCTTCCAGTTGTATTCTCCCCTGGGGTTTTGCAGGCATCTATGACAGGCATCATCAGAGGTTTGTTCAGAGGTCTGTGGGAACAAGGCAAGCAGGGTATGTATGTATATATGGGTGTGAAGTATATTATCTATTTGTATGCTTTTGCATTTGGTTCTTTTGGGACTTCAGGCAACTGTGCCGCATTGTGTTGTAATTGACATTCACAGCAGAGGAGTGTAGCCTTCACGTTGAAACTAATAACTAGAATGGTTAGCCATTGCTGAGGTAGTCCTTGGACAGATAGGCATCTGCCATGCCTTGTTCAAATGGAAAGCATCTTTTTCAATATGAAGACACTTTACAAAGAAATGGCATGACATTCCCATAGTTAAACTGTCCACTCAGGACCCTTCCACGCAGTTGTATAAAATCCACATTAAACTGGATTATATGACAGTGTGGACTGATAACCCAGTACAAAGCAGATATTGTGGATTATCTGCCTTGATATTCTGGGTTATATGGCTGCGTGGAAGAGCCCTCAGTTGACAGGGATGGAGTTTTAGTTGGAATTGATGACTGAAGCCTCTCTTTAAAGTTTAAGAGTGAAAGAAAGAGGGGTGAAGAGACACTTTTCATGTGTCTAATGAAATTGCCTGTGGTCAATCTGTCCATGTGCAGCGATGGTGTTTTAGTTGGAATGGATCATTGAAGCCTCTCTCTAAAGTTTAAGAAGGACACAATCAGAGGTTTAGTCACTTTAGGAGTCCTTTGCTGTGATTTTGATGACTTTTGAGACCACCCATGTTTTTAGATGGTATGCAAAGAAATGGGAAAAAATCAGCCTGAAACTTGCTTTGTATTGACAGGTGCCTGATAAAACATCTCATAGTGTTTTCACAGTGCTGTTTTGATTTGGCAAGAGGGAGGGCATTTGGATTAGCATCCTTATGATGTCATGGAGGCAGACGCCTAGAGAGAGAAAACTTGCTGTTTGTCATTTGAGTCTCAAATCAGCAGTCAGCTGTCTGCTGCATTGGCTGCTTGCGCTTAACTCCATTGCGATCTTGTTCTGTGTCCTCTTGGAGAACCTGTTATGCTTCGGATGCTTTGTTTTGAGGAACAAGCGAAGCATGATTTCATTCTGACATTTTTTCTCATGCAACTAGGTTCATGCGGAAAACTTTTGGGGAAAGTACGATTT